ATCTAGTAGCTTTTTGTACGTTTCTTACAGTTTTCTACATAGAAAATCATATCTGTGAATAATGACAGGTTTACTCCTTTCTATAAAATCTGAAAGCCTTTTATTTCCTTTTCTTATATTGTGGCTAGGACCTCTAGTATAATGTTGAATGGATGTATTGAAGTGGACATACTTGCCTTGTTTCCTGTCTTAAGGGGAAAGCATTTAATCTTTCACCATTAAGTATTACAACTATAGGTTTTTCATAGAAGCTCTTTTATTGCTAGATTGTTGAGAGCCTTTATCTTGAATGGGCAGTGAATTATGTCAAATGTTTTTCTGTAACTATTAAGATAATTATGTGGTTTTTCTTTTTCAGTCTATTAATACAGTGAAGCATATTAACTGATTTTCAAATGTTAAGCCAAATTTGCAATCCCATCTAAACCACACTTTGTCATAATGTAATATTCTTACACATTGCTGGATTCAGTTGGCTAAAATTGTGGAGGGATTTTTGCATCACTGTTCATGAGTGATATTGGTCTGTAGTTTTCTTTCTTGGTCAGGTTTTGGTATCAGGGTAAAGCTAATCTCATGAAATATATTAGGAAATGTCCCCCCCTCCCCTTTTTCTGCAAGAATTTGTAAAGAATTGGTGCTATTTCTTCCTTAAATGTTTGGTAGATTTTGCCAGGGCCTGGCATTTTCTTTGTGAGAAGGATTTTAACTAGTATTTCAGTTTCCATGTCTTTCTTTCAAGAAATTTACTGGCATAAAGTTATTCATAATATCCTCTTCTTATCCCTTTAATATTTGTAGGATTTGTAGTGATATCCCTAATTTCATTCTCAATATTGGTAGTTTGTGTCTACTCCTTTTCTTCTGATCAATCTGGCTATAGATTTACCAATCTTCTTTATCTTTTCAAGGACCCAGATTTTAGTTTCATTGATTTTTCTCTAATGTCTTTCTATTGTATTTCATTAATTTCTGTGCTTTTAAAAATTTACTCCCCTTTCTAGTTTCATAAGGGGGAATCTTAGATTGTTGACTTCATCTTTTCTAATGTAAACGTTTGATGTTGAAATTTCCCTTAATTACTGATTTACTTATATTTTACAAATTTTGGCAAGGTTTTTTTCACCTTAGTCCAAAATATTTTCCAGTTTTCTTTATGGTTTTTTTTTTTTTTTTTCGTTCCACCTATGGATTATTTAGAAGTGCCATGTTTAATTTTCAAGTATATTGAGAATTTTCCAAATATCTTTCTGTTATTGATTCCTAGTTTAATTCCATTGTGCCTAGAGATTTACTTTATGATTCAGTGCTTTTAAATTTTTTGCGCCTTGTTTTATGGTCCAGAATTCAGTCTATCTTGGTGAATGTTCCATGTGCTTGAAAGGAATTTATATTCGGTTGTTGGAAGGAACTCTATCAATATCAGTTAGGTCAGTTAGTTAGTAATTTTCTGTCCATGTGTTCTATCATTGACTCAGAGAAGAGTGTTAATTTTTATTTATAATTATGAATTTTTCTAATTCTCACTTTGGTTTGATTAATATTTTCTAGATGTATTTTGAAGCTTTATTATTAGGTACATAAATATTTATGATCATTGGATCCCTTTGACAGATTGACACCTTTATCATTATGAACTGCTCCTATTTGTCCCTGGTACTATTCCTCGTTCAAGAATATACTTTGTCTTATATTGTGGTAGTCAGAATGGCCCCCCAGGGATATACAGGCCCTAAACCCTAGAACCTGTGACTATGTTATATTACATGGCAAAGGAGACTTTGCAGATGTATTTAAGGTTACAGTATTAGTTGCTATTGTTACCATGACAAATTACCATAATCCTAATGGCTTAAAACTACTCTTAACTTATTATCTCACAGTTCTTTAGATCAGAAGTCCGGGTACAACATGGCTCAGTTGGGTCTTCTGCTTAGGGTGTCACAAGGTAGAAATCAAAATGTTAGCAGAGCTGTAATCCTTTCTAGAGGCTCTGGGGATTAATATGCTTCCAAGCTGATTTGGGCTATTATCAAATTTTAGTTCCTTGGGGTGGTAGGGCTGAAGTTTCTATTTCCTTGCTGACTGTCAGCCAGGAGTTATTCTCAGCCTCTTGAGGCTGCAGGCATTCCTTGGCTCATGGTTCCTTACTTCCAACTTCAAAGCCAACAATGGCAGGCTGAGTCCTTCTCATATCTGGAATCTCTCTGACTTTCCTTCTGCCTCATCTCTCCTCTTCCATTGCATCTTTCTGACTTACTCATCTACCTTCCTATTCTTCTTTTAAGGGCTCATTGGACCCACTTGCATAATGCAGTATAATCTCCCTACTGTAAGGTTAGCTAATTATTAACCTTAATTCCATCTGCAAAGTCCCTTCATAGTATTTAGATTAGTGTTTGATTGAGTAACCAGGATAAAGGAATCTTGGAAAACATCTTTAGAATTCTGTCTACCACAGTTATGGACCTTAAAATAGGGAGATTATCCTGGCTTTATCCAAATGGACTCAAGCTCATCACATTAACTCTTAAAAGCAGAGAACTTTCTCTGACTGGAAGCAGGAGAAATATGGCAGGAGGAGAAGTAAGAAAAATTCCAAGCATGAGAAGGATTTGATATGCTATTGCTGGCTTTGAGATGTAGGGGCCTATATGCAAGGACCTAAGGGAGGCCTCTAGTATCCACGGGTGGCTGCCAGGTGACAGCCAGCAAATAAACAGGTACCTCACAACTAAAACCACATGAAATGATTCTGCCTACAACTTGAATGAATTTGGAAGCTGATTCTGCCCAGAGTCCACTGATAAGGGCCCCACCAATGGACATTTTGATTTCAGCCTTGTGAGACTCTGAGCAGAAAAACCAACCAATCCCATCTAGCCTCCTGTCATACAGAACAGTGCGATAAATTTGTATTGTTTTAAGCTTCTAAGTTTATGGTAATTTGTTACAGCAGCAATAGAAGACTAAAACAGATAGTAATATAATAACTCCAGCTTTCTTTTGGTTAGTATTGGTTTAATATAACTTTTTCTGTCCTTTTGCTTTTAATCTGTCTATGACTTTATAGATAAAGTAGGTGTCTTATAGACAGCATGTAGTTGTCTTGCTAATTTATCTAATCTGATACTCTTTGTCTTTATTTTTTTTATTTCAGCATATTACGGGGTACAAATGTTTAGGTTACACATATTGCCTTTGCCCCACCCAAGTCAGAGTTTCAAGCATGCCCATCCCCCCTGACAGTGCACACCGCACCCACTAGGTGTGAATATACCCATCCCCTCCTCTCTCCTTCCACCTACCTGACACCGGATGAATGTTACTACCATATGTGCACATAAAGTGTTGGTCAATTAATACCAATTTGATGGTGAGTACATGTGGTGCCTGTTTTTTCATTCTTGTGATACTTAACTTAGTAGAATGGGTTCCAGCTCTATCAGGATAATACAAGAGGTGCTAAATAACCATTGTTTTTTGTGGCTGAGTAGAACTCCATGGTATATATATACCACATTTTATTAATCCACTCATGTATTGGTGGACACTTGGGTTGTTTCCACATCTTTGCACTTGTGAATTGTACTGCTATAAACATTCTAGTGCAGGTGTGTTTTTTTATAAAGAATGTCTTTTGTTCCTTTGGGTAGATGCCCAGTAATGGGATTGCTGGATCAAATGGTAGTTCTACTTCTATCTCTTTGAGGTATCTATATATTACTTTCCATAGTGCTTGTACCAGTTTGTAGTCCCACCAGTAGTGTATGAGGGTTCCTATCTCTCTGCATCCACACCAACATTTATTATTTGGGAACTTTTTGGTAAAAGCTATCCTCACTGGAGTTAAGTGATAGCTCATTGTGGTTTTGATTTGCATTTCCCTGATGATTAGAGATTTTGAGCATTTTTTCATATGTTTGTTGGCCATTATTCTGTCTGCTCTTGAAAAGTTTCTGTTCATGTCCTTTGCCCACTTTTTAATGGGGTTGTTTGATTTTTTCTTGCTGGTTTTCCTGAGTTCTCTTTAGATTCTAGTTATCAGCCCTTTATTGGGTGTGTAGCATGCAAATATTTACTCTTTGTCTTCAAATTGGTATTTAGATGATTTACCTTTAATTACTGACAGGGTTGAATTTTAATTACCTTCTTCCTGTAGCATAGAAACTGCCTCCTGTCAATAAACTGGGGCAATATTAAGGTTTATCACCTTTGTTTCCTCCCTCCTTGTTCTTCACTGCCTGTTGTCAATGTCTGAAAACTGTTGTCTTGTATGTCATTCTTGTTTAATTTGGAAGGCAAATTCTGTTCCTGTTAATAATACATCAAGGCTGGAAGTTGAAGTCCTCAACGATGTAATTTCTAATTAATGTTTCAAGGGCATCCTGTGAGAGAGAGTGTGTTTGTAATTTATTCAGTCATGGAAAGTATAATATGTGCACTAAAGTGTTCAGCCATATGAACATGGCAGATGGCTATCTTTTTAGAAATAGAATCAAATAATCAATCAGTGATAGAACTTGACCATATCCTGAACATTTCAGCCCTTTTCCTTCTACATGTCTTGGTATGGCTAGTTCCTTCTGCCTGGCATTCTTCTTCATGTCATTTCCTTTCTTGCCTGGCAGCTTTTCTATGTGTCCCCGGAACTATCTCCAGGGTCACCACCTCTCTGCTTCCCAGTACCTCAGACATAATCTGCATTTCTTCTTCCTGGCTTCCATCAAATGCCATACTGTATTATTAATATAATTATATGTTTCTGTGTGGGCTGCCTTTTACTAGGAAGGCCTGGGAAGCCGGGGGCTTATTTTAGTCTTCTTTATGTTTCTCTTATTCCCAGTATTGTATGCCTGCTACATAAACCTTTTCAATCAGTGATTGTTGAATTAGTGACTCTTTTTAGGTGCTGAGAAATGTTGCTGTTATTACTCCCCATTTGAGCATCACATGTTTGTAAAAGTAAATCCTCTTTAAGCATTTTACTTTTCTCCTAGTAAATTCCTCATCTATGCCTGTCTGCTACTGTTCTCTGTGCTGCTGGCCCTTCGTTTGGATGGCATCATTCAGTGGAGTTACTGGGCCGTTTTTGCTCCAATATGGCTTTGGAAGTTAATGGTCATTGTTGGAGCCTCAGTTGGAACTGGAGTCTGGGCACGAAATCCTCAATATCGGTAAGACTGCTTTATAAAACCCATTGGTCTCTATCCTGAGGGAGCAATATCTTGGCTTTTCTCACTTTTGATAAAGTAAGGACCATTTCCTTTTCTATGTATCTGGTATTTTCTAAGAACTATAGTAGAGGCAAACTTAGATCTCTTCTGTTTTTGAAAATTAGGTGTTCGATAGGTGTTTTCTTACAAAAGCAGTGTTATTTGGGGTGGTTAAGTTCCCGGCCAGCACACAAATGCCTGTATAATCCAAAATGTACCCAAAATACAAAGTGGTATGTCATACTAGACTAAGAAGCATGAAACCACCCTGCTTTTAGGAGAAGGCATTCAGAGTTTTAGCTTTGCTCATCAGGGATCTATATTTCTGCAGTTCAGTTTTGGAACTGGGGCTCCCCTTGTCCCACCACTATCCTAGGCCCAGGGTTTGAAGACTATTAGCAGTGTGGGGGAGGTAGCTTGGCCAGGAGGCCCTGAGTCCCTGAAACCAGGGCTAGGGAATGAGGAAAGTTGAGGGCCAGATTCTGATAAGGAGAGCAGAGCCTTTGGGTTAAGGGGAGAGGGGTAACCTTTACCTTCTCCAAGTCTCCACTGCTCTTCTTGGATGCCTCAGATGGTCCAAATTCCGAGGAGTTGGCTCACTGCAGTGTGCAGCCTGGTGCTGCTGGGTCCTGTGAGAGTCTGTCTCTCTCGCAGAGACTGAAACTATATAAAGGAAAAAGGCAGGACTTGAGAGTAGGAGGCTGTTCTAAACCTTCACCAGGAAGATGAAGAGTGCAGGAATGCCCAGTAGGCAGGTGGGGATGGAAGGGAGTGTACGTTGAGCTGCTCATGTGGGAAAAGTATAGAAGTTTTTAAATTCTTGGTTATTACCTCTAAAAAATAAAGATTCAGATCTTATAAATTACATATCACATGCATATCTAATAACTTTAAAATGGCTACACAAAGAGCCCTGGCAGATGAGGGACGTTCATAGGTAGCTATTTTAAAGTTATTAGATTGTTTTGAAAGATTGATTACCTGTGTGGCTATACATTTTTATTTTTTATCTTTTCATTTTTATGAGATATTTTCAGATATCTAATGCTTGCTCCTCAAAGAATAAAAAGGTAAATTACTAAAAATTTAGGTTCCATTAATTGATATTTAGAAGGTTTTGAAGTTTGTGGGTTTGATTTTAGATTTTTTTAAGTAAGGAAAGGAATGGTGTGGGGGCTGTACACTGAATGTACAGAGTGTACGACATGCTCACTCTAGTGTTAACAGTAACTGATGCAATGCTTTTGGGTACTACAGGAATAACCTCTGACCTCATTTTCTCTACATCCTAAACTCAGGTGTATTTATCACCAACAAGAAATGTATAACATAAATGTTCATCTGTGTTTTGAAGAACATTGCCAGTCTTTTCAAATTTATTATAAAGCTTTTTTCTGATTAGTGGCATTACCATTTTTCAGTTATTAATCTATTAAGTTCATGCATGATACTTAAATAGCTAATTAAATTGATTTAGTTTAAGAATAATTTTGACTCTTTTATTCTTCTGTCTTCCTACAGGTGTTAGTTTATCCTAATGGAATAGAAAGGAAAATAAAAAAGACATTTATACATTTTCTTTGCATTTTAAAATAGCACCTAACAATAGTTACTATATCTTATTGTAATATATCCAACACTTATTCATAAATATAGAGTTATTTTTATAATATGACATGAAATACAATTTATATGGGTTTTAATTCATTGAGAGATGAGAATCATGAGACTTAAAAGGTATCTGTCAGTTTTTAGCAGTAGAAGTGATCAGCTTGAATAATCTTGGAAGTAACTCTTGTGTTGAATTTAAAGATATGAACAAAAATGTTTATGTACTTTGTCTAGGAAGTAATAACTGTGGCTATTACTAGTGAGAATGTCCTACAGTTAAGGCATTAATGTCTGGTTTGTTTTTAATGTGTACTTCTTGTCATATAGTAGTTCTTTGATGTTTGAAAAATTGCCTATTAAAGATTACGTTTAAGTTCGCTTTTGACCTGATTTTCCTTTGCATTTTGACAAATTTACAAGTAAAATTCGAAGTATTAACATAAGTTGTTATTTGCCCTGAACTGCTGGCTTATAATGGGGATTCTGAACTGAGAATATTTCTTCTTCTTCTTCTATCCCTTTTTAGAGCAGAAGGAGAAACATGTGTGGAGTTCAAAGCCATGTTGATTGCAGTAGGCATCCACTTGCTCCTGTTGATGTTTGAAGTTCTGGTCTGTGACAGAATTGAGAGAGGAAGCCATTTCTGGCTTCTGGTCTTCATGCCACTCTTTTTTGTTTCCCCGGTGTCTGTTGCAGCTTGTGTATGGGGCTTTCGACATGACAGGTCATTAGAGGTGAGATTCCATATATTTAAGAATGTTTTCAAAAGTAAAATCTTTGGTCAGTTATTCAAATATCAATTTCTTGCCCTTTGTTAGGAAGACATTGATCATTGACCATAGATCATGGGACATAAAGCCACAAAAGACAATGGAAATGATCGTTTCTCTTTCTTGACTTAGAACATTGGCTTTTCACCCAGGCCATCAGCCTTCTCCCGACTTATAGCTTCCCCTGTCCACCTGCATCAGTCAGACTTTTCTAGAGGAACAGAATCCATAGGGTAGATGCAGATATAAAGAGATTTATTTTAAGGAGCTGGGTCACATGATTGTGGGGCTGGCAAGTCTGAAATCTGTAGGGTAGGTGGAGAGGCTGGAGATCCAGCAGGAATTGACGATGCAGTACTGAGGCAGAATTTCTTCCTCTGTCAAAGGAGCCTCAGCATTTGCTCTGAAGGCTTTCAACTGGTTGGGTGGGGTCCACCCACATTATTGAAGGTAATCTCCTTTATTCAAAGTCAATACCTTCGTGGCAACACTTAGCTTAGTGTTTGATTGAATAACTGGGTACTATAGCCTAGCCAACTTGATCCAAAAAATGACTGTCTCACCACCTCAGATCCCATGATCAAGCTCCTCAACTGCTCTCTGGTTAGCTTATCCTGATGTGCCCATATATTAATATTTATTCACTCAATAAACATTTATCAAGTATTTACTGTATGGCAAGCCCTTTTTGCCTAAGCATAGGGGATGCAGAGGTGAATAAAATACCAGGACTAGTAATACTAATATTAACAATGAAAATAATTGCAGGCAGCATTTTTTGAGCATTTACTGTGTGCCAGGCATTGTGTGAGGCACATAACATGCAGGAGTATCTTATTAAGTATTCATAACCCTGTGAAGTAGGTGTGGTAGTTTCCCAGAGAGGGTACTTTGTTCATGGCCACACATTAAGGGGCAGGGCCAGGATTCCATTTTGGTCAGCCTGACTTCCAAAGCCCAGGCACTTACTGCACAAAAGCTGAGGTCCCAAAGCCTAATGTCCTAATGGGTTGAGGGGAGAACTCCAGGCCATAGAAGCCTTGTTTTGGGCCATGTGGATAAAGAGTAGAAAAAAGAGACTGCAGTTGGGTTGGAAGGGAACATAGGAGCCAGGGGGTGGGTTGGGCATGTAATCCTTGACCCCGCATGTAGGCTTGAAGGGAAGGTGTCCAGAGAGAGGGACGGTGATGGACCAAAGCCCTGTAGGACCCAGAGGGAATGGGACCTAGAGCACTAGGAAAGGCTTGGCCTTGAACAGGGGAAGCCAGAAAGGCCATACATAGCATGGGTGTGGCTAATAGGTAGGGGTGGGTTATGCAGGGAGGATACCTCTGATGGCCACTTTTTACCCTCCCTGCAATTCCAGTTTTATACTGGGGACCCAAGCACCTGTTGATTTTGATATCTGGGGAGTCCTGGAGCCAATCCCCCATGGAGACCACGGGACAACTGTACAGTGACTAGGACTGCACTGGACATGAGTTATAGAAAGGTAGTCTTTCATATATTCACATTCTTATCCAGAGAAGAAACAACGTGCTGGGAGTTGAGCTCCCTCTTCTGTGACATAAAAACAAGTGTCTGCATTGGCAAGAAGAGGATTGAGAGTAGCCTTGCACAGAGATAGGAAGAAAGAGCTGGAGTCTGCCATTAAGCTCTATGTTGGGAGGGAAGGAATGGCATTTTTCAGGCACACTACAGCCCAAAGGCAGGAGGAAACCTGTCAGCTGCATGGATTACACAGTTCAGACATGAATGGAGCATAAGGTAGAAAGGAGGAAGCTGTGGGAGTTAGGGAGGAAGGAAGCCTCTACAGAGGGACTGGGCTGAACAGGGCCACACTGTCAGCCCTCAAAGCATGTGCCGAGGTGCCTGGGGCACCCCGGTGAGCTCACAGGATACAAGGGGATAGTGGACATTTTGAGGAAAACAGGGATACCTGAAATTTGTTGGGAAACTGTACAAACTACTAGCTTGAAACAGTTTATGGGCTTATTGTTACATCATACTACAGTCCTTTCAATGATGTCATATCTTTAAGAAGCTGGGTTTTCATCAGGTGCTGCGAAAAATAAAGGCTGGTAGTGTGTGAACACCTAGGTGAAGACACTCATCAGGTAGCAAAAGAGGAAGAGCCTTTTCTAATTCCAAGGTTTGGGAAATTGTGCACTACCCTGACAGGTATCCGCATCGTATTAGGAATTAGTCATGGCTATTTAAGAATGAAATTAAAATATTTCTCTTTTAATTTATGTGAACTATTTTTTCAAATGGCTACTTAGGACAGAAATACTTACTAAGTTCAGACCTAATTACTTAAATCAATGGAACTGTTAGGTATTTCTTTTGGCCGGAGGTCTATGGAAGAATTACTGAGTCACTAAATGCCCTGTGAACTGAGAACTTTTGGGGAGCTCTGGGTCAGGTCACAGATTTCCATTCTGGTGAATGAAGAACAGACTGTAGGGCATTTGGGAGCAGAGGCCCATGAGCCTGGCGGCAGGGAGACTAATGAGAGGTTGCTGAGAGGCTGGGGGTGGTCTGAGTAGGCAGTCATCATCAGCATAGCCAGTGGGCAGAGGTTCAAGAGAAGTTTGGGTGGTACGGTGGACAGGATTTGGTGAGTGATATGAGATTGTGAGTAAAGAATATGGGTGCTTCCTGGGTTCCTGGTGTGGGTGCCTTAATGGGAGGCTACAGAAAAGCTAGGGACAAGGTTCAAGGTGTAGGCGATAATGAACTCGGTTTGGGCCTGGCTCCATTTTAGGTGCCTCTAGGAGATCCAAGTGGCACATGCACAGCTAGGTCTGGTGTGCAGCAGGAAGACTAGGTTGGAGACAGATTTGAGAATCAGCCACTAGGAGGTAATGCAAGCCAGGGATGTGGCTGAAATTTCTTCTCTCCTAGCCCTAGGGTGAAGCGAGTGACAGTGTGTCTGTGTCTGTCTGTATATCTCTCTAGTGGGGAGACAAGGCTGAGTTTATAGCTCTGGGGAGTATCACCATTTGAGGAAGAGGAAAGGAGACTGAATGAATCATCAGAGCATTTGGAGAGCACCAAGGCTGCATGGTGGGATCCTGGAAGGTCAGGAGGAATGGAGCAAGAGGGAAGGAACAGTCACGGTATCAGTAGGCTGTGGAGTGAAGTGTTCTGCTGCCTCCTGGTTTTTGGTGACTTTGATGAAAACTGTTTCCTGGAGATCGTGGAGGTAGAGGCCAGAACACAGTGAGGGAGTTTGGAATGGCAGATGAGACAACGTGGGCAAAGAGAACTGAGGCTTAGTGGGGTCCTGGATCAAGGGAGGAGAGGCCTTATTTGGTTTGGGTTTTCTTTTATTTTTAACGGGAAGGAGTTGACTTGTTTCTGTGCTGCTAGGAAGCATCAATGGAATAGGCAGAGTTAAAGATGGAGTGAAGAATCTATAACTGATGGCTGGATGTGACAAGATCCTCAAGGAGCCGGAAAGGAATGGGTGAGACGCAGGGGTGAGTCTCAGGTATGGGAAGAAGGAAGTACAAGGATGGTTACGAGTAGAGATTGTTGTTAGGGGCAGGAAGGAAGCTTGGGGAGTCTACTGCAGATTGCCTCTGTTCCCAGTGAGTCTGGAAACAAGATCATCACCCGTCATCATCTGTGCCCAGGCCTCAAGCTGCAGAATGGGCAAGACAGCCACTGAGAGAGATGAGGCAGGAGTCCAGGCCACCTGGGCCACATTTCTCCTAGGCATAGCACTGCTGTGCTCCTCTGGTGCCGAAAATCAGGAGTTTCCTGTGCAACATAATACAAGTTTTACTGTATTATAATTTTCATTGCCTTTTAGTTTGTTAACCAAATAACTACAGTATTAAATGCAACTTCTACTTTGTTTAACTGATTATTCTCTTCATTTTCAGTTAGAAATCCTGTGTTCTGTCAACATTCTCCAGTTTATATTCATTGCGTTAAGACTGGACAAGATCATCCACTGGCCCTGGCTTGTATGTAATTTTCTAGATCCTTAAATAAACTTTTCTTTTTTATTATAAAAGTAATTTGTGCTCATTACAGAAAACTTGGAAAAGACAGACAAGCATAAGTAATAGACTAATAAAATCACCCATAATCCCACCACTGGGAGATAACATGATTAATGTTTTTTATTTCCTTGTGTTATACAAATAGTTGGGATCATACTGTATGTATACTTTTATATATGTTCTTTGTTTTAATATGTTCTTTGTTTTTTGTTTTGTTTTGTTCTTTGTTCTTTGTTTTAATCCGTTCTTTGTTATAAACATTTTCCCATGTAATAAAGTATCTTTATAGACATAACTTTTAAACTTTAATTGATGTGAAATATTCTTCAAATGCAACAATCAAACCATCCTCTGATTTCTAAAATAGAATATTTCAGTTATAGCCAGCATTTTGATTTTAAAACATGTTGCAGTATATATTTTTATACATAAAAGTCTTTGGCTTATTTTTTATTGTTTTCTTAGGAAATACTCCAGAAACAGTATTACTGGGCTAGAGGGTGTGAACTTTTTGAAGTTCTTAAGCACTGCCAACTTATTTTTCAAAATGCTGTACCAATTTACATGCTAGCCATGAGTGGAGCCCTAAGTCATGCTTCTAACCTGTGACTTCAGTTATTGGTTGTTTGGTTAAAATTAACTATGGATGGGTAGATGGAAGGAAGGAAGGAAGGAAGGAAGGAAGGAAGGAAGGAAGGAAGGAAGGAAGGAAGGAAGGAAGGAAGGAAAGGGAGGGAGGGAGGGAGGGTAGATAAATAAGTGGTAAGCTATAAACTGGAGAATACAGTATGGTTTCAACTTTTATATGTATAGAAATAAAATTGAGAACAAAGGCAGAATAGTTCCATTGCCTCTGGGAGTTGAGTGAGGTCAAGCTAGTATTTTTGTCTTTATCTTATCTGCTGCTTGATGTATATTTTTGCATACACGACATTCTCTGCATTAAACATAGTTTACCTTTTTTTAAAAAAGAGTGAAAACTATAGTACAAAAACAAAATATTCATTTGGGGGCAGGGAAAAAAATAAGGGAACATAAATAGATTCCAAAATTAAAGTAAAGATGGCATTTATCACTTCTTCCCAAGTCTTTAATAAAATATTCATAATCAAAAATATTGCTCAGGCACCCATTGTACATCTTCAGGGTGCTATATGTGGAAAATGGTAATTGGTTTCAAAACTGTCTCTATTGTGTCATGAAGGAAACAAGTCTACACAAGACCACATTTTTAGTATAAGGTAAAAAAGAAAAAGATGAGGAATTTTGAATGCTTTCTGCAAGTGAGCAGAGGGATGTTTCCACCCTCATCCCTGTGCCGATCCCAGTGGATGAAGCAGTGTGATAGAACGTTTACCACAGTGAGCAAGAGACAGCAAGTGAGGCTGTTGAGATCACTTACACTCCACCCATGAAGTGTGTTCCAATAGAGGAGAGGCCTGTCACAGATGTGCTGTTGAAGGAAGAAGACAGGCTATGCATGGGGGCCTTCAGCAAAACCCACAGTCAAGCTAGTCAGAAGGATTAAAACTCATGTACCAACTCCAATCATAGATAGGTAAAATGTAGAACTCTTAGAAGAAAACATAGGATATAATCTTTGGAGCCTGCAGTTAGGCAGAGAGTGCTTATAAATGGCAGCATTAATATTGTCCATAAAAGAAGAAATCATAAATTTGAACTTCCTCAAAACTAAAATGAAATGAATGAGAAGACAGGCCACAGATTGGGACACAATCTATGCAAAGCATGTGTCAAGTACCTGAAACATACAGAGACAAATACCTAAAACAAGTACCTAAAACATACAGAGAATTCAAAAATAAGAAAACAAACACGTAGTTTAAAAACCGGCAAAAGGCTTAACAGACAATTCACAAAGAGTATATACACATGGGGAGTAAGCACAGGAAGAGATGCTCAACGTCATCACCCATCAGGGACAGGCAGGATGGGTTCCCCCGGCACATTTACCAGAATGGTGAACTCAAAAGCACTGCCACGCAGGTTCGGGAGGTAGGGGAATGATCGAGGAACTGGGATGCTCCCACATTCCTGGCAGGAAGGCACAAGGACAGACATTCTGCAAAACGGTTTTGCAGTTTCTGATACATTTAAAGGTGCACTTACCGTGTGACCCAGTAGTCACTCTGGGTGTTTACCCAGAGTGTAAACACTCCCCTGGGTGTTTGCCCTAGAGAAATGAAAACAGCCAGCCACTTGGAAACCCATACTCCAGTGTTTGGTAGCAGCTCGTTTGGGATAAACCAAAAGCTGGAAACCACCTTTGATGGACGGTTCTGGAAACAAACTATAGCCTCCCATGCGGTGGAATACCACTCAGCAATGAAAGGGAACAACCTGTGGACACAGGAACGATGTGGATGAATCTCCAGAAGACAGCAGGCTGATCGCCAGGAACCAGCTCAAAAGGGCTGCATGCTGTGTGATTCCATCTATGTACACGTTCTAGCAAAGACAAAAGTATAGTGACGAACAGATCATTGGTTGCAGGGGTTATGGTGGAGTGAGGGGGGGTGACTACGGGAAGGAGGACAGCCGAGGGTGTCGGGTGGGAGAGCTCCTCCTGCCTGTGGCTGTGAGGATCTACACGTGTGTTTTGAACTCATTCTCATAGAACTGTATGGCAAAGGACAGTCACTTTTACTGTACCATAATAGTAAAAAAAACGGGAGAACTGGGAGGCAGGGCAGGAGGGAGAAGAGATGACACAAGGGAGCCAGGCCAGGTGACACCCCAGGGCTTATCCTCTGGGCTTGCATGCGGGTGAGACAAGGTCTTTCTGGTAGGACAGTGACATACTCAGAACTCGCCTGAGCATGGTGGCAGGGACGGGGTAGCATTGTGTGCCCAGCGTCAGTCTGCCCAGTTCACTAACACAGCGGGGGTCCCTAGAAGCCCTGGCAGCTGAACTTTCTGGGGACCCGTTCCCAAGTGTCTCACCAAAGTACCTCCGGCAGGTTGTGGAAATGTTTCCTGAGAAGCGGGTATGGTGGGGTGTGATGCCAGTGAGCAGGGCAGAGCCTGAGTGAGTGGAGGAAGGAGGAAGGGGAGGGACTCTGGAAAGGCAGAGGCGTGGGGGCCAGATGCAGGCTGTCATGGAAGGAGAGGAGGCTGACTGATGAAGAGAACGTGTCTCTCC